CGGAACCCAAGTTTAAGAGACATGAGGGGACCGTATTTTTGGGAAAGTTGATAGAGGTAAACGTGAAGTGATGAATTATCGAGCTGGTGCAAGTTACCGATGAAGGGAAGACCCTGCGGACCTGGTGGAAGGAGATTGGTATTGCCGCCATTGACTCTCTGTTTGTGGAGGAGAAAGAAGGTGAAGAGGGGGAGGGCTACGAGGAAGAAGAGGAGCAGCATGTTTGGTCTAGCTGGAGCAGAAAATCGTGAAAGAAAAAAACAAGAGGACTGCAGCACATGTAGATGTTGTAAGCATTTTGTTTTCTCCTCCACTTTTTCTTGGACATTAAAGAATTTCGACATTCATGGAATTTCTAGCCACTTGTCCCAATCCACTGTGCCAAGTTGTTTAATAAATTTTAACTTGCATTTGCAAGTTGAGGAGTGCTAGGGGCACTCGCCTTCGCACTCTCCTGCCAACACTTTCACTTTTATTGGACTACGTTATTCTTGTCTGCGAGAGGTTGCACTTCAAACAAAGTCTGAAATAAGATTACGTGGCCCAATGAAAGGGGAAGTGTTAACCGGAGAGTGCAAGAGGTGAGTGCCCATGGCATTAGCGGGGTTCATATCCGATCTAATGTGATTGATCCGATCCAATCAAAAATAAATTCAAATCAATATAAAATTGGATTTGTTTGAATTTTAAAACTGATATAATTGGTTTGATTCGTGATTTTACCTTTAAACGACTTGAATTACCCAATTACAAAATAAAATATGATTGAAAAATAATTTAATTAATTAATATAACATATTTTTTTGTAGTATTTTAAAAATTTTTTTTCTTATTTTACAAGGTTATAACTCCATTAACTTAATTAAAAAAATAAAAATAGAACATCTCCATATTCTCTAAGTTATTTCTCCATTTTAATTATACACTCTAACCTTAATTTTAAATTTTTAATTTATCTGCAACTCTATCCTCTCAGAATTTGGTTAGCGCCTGTACTCTTAAAACCCTAAACTTCTAATTTATTCTTAAAATAATTTTATGATTTTTCTAACTAAATTTTAAATAAATATCATTCTAAAAACCTTAAAACTAGATAATAAAATTAGTCTTAATATCCAACTATTCTTAGATATTTGGTTTAAAAGTTTTAAATTTTGATTTTGAATGCTTCTAATCAATTTTAATAATATTCAT